TGGGACCCGGGCTGTATCTCCTCACTGGGACCCGGGCTGTATCTCCTCACTGGGGCCCAGGCTGTTTCTCCTCACTGGGATCCGGGCTGTATCTCCTCACTGGGGCCCAGGCTGTATCTCCTCACTGGAACTCAGACTGTATCTCCTCACTGGGACTAGGGCTGTGTCTCCTCACTGGGACTCAGACTGTATCTCCTCACTGGGACCCAGGCTGTATCTCCTCAATGGAACTGGGGCTGTATCTCCTCACTGGGACTCAGACTGTATCTCCTCACTGGGACTAGGGCTGTATCTCCTCACTGGGACTAGGGCTGTATCTCCTCACTGGAACTAGGGCTGTATCTCTTCATGGGACTGGGGCTGTATGTCTTCATGGGACTCAGACTGTATCTCCTCACTGGGACTCGGGCTGTATCTCCTCATGGGTCTGGGGCTGTATCTTCTCATGGGACTAGAGCAGGTGGGACTTGAACCCAGGACTCCTGGTTCAGGACTAGGGACCCTAACACTACACCAGAAGAACCCTCAGTTACATTGTCTCCAAACTTTGCAATCATTACAACCACCTGTTCCTATTCCATTCAGATTACACTCCTGTTCCTGTCTTGTTCCTATTCTATTCAGTACACCTCCTATTCCCAACCCATTCATAATACACTTCCGTTCCTTTTCCATTCAATACACACTCCTGCTCCTGTTCCATTCAGAATACACTGTGTTCCTGTTCGATTCAGAATAGCCTCCTGTTCCTGTTCCTTTTGGAATACATTCCTATTCCTGTTCCATTTAGAATATACTCCTGTTCCTTGTCCATTCAGTATACTGTCATGCTCTTGTTCCATTCAGAATATATGCCTGTTTCTGTTCCATTCAGTAAAACCATTTGCCCCTTTCCCACTGTTATGCAAACCTACTCCCATTACTTTAGGAAACACTTCTATTCCAATTATACTGTGAATAATAAATGTGTTGATTAAGCCATTGAGAACAATTTCTACTTTTTTCTCGTTGAAGCCACATATTTCAGTGAAAGCTGTGTGCCTGGGGCAGATCCCGAGAGCAACCTATGCTCCCTTTGTGCTGGCCAAGAGCACTCCTCACCACCTGGAATGGACAAGTGTGTCTTTAACTTCAATGAGCGATACTTTGGCTACCCTGGTGCTTTTAGGTACGTGGCTTGTTTCTGAGTGTCAGAATTATTCTGCATTACATTTCAGTTACAGCAAAAGAAGTTTTATTTCAATATGTGCTAGCTTGATTGGAGTGAATCCAACTCCTCTTACATACAATTTTCTTTCTTATTCATTGATGGGATATGTGCATTAGTGGCTAGGCCAATATTTATGGCCATCCCAAATTGCCCAGAAGGCATTTAAGAGTCAACCACATTGGTCTGGTGTCACGTGTAGGCCAGACCAGATAAGGATGGTAGATTTCTTCCCTCAAAAGCATTAGTGAACCAAATTAGCTTTTCCTGACAATTGACAACAATTTCATGCTGTGGTTGGTTGGCTCGCCAAGCTGGTTCATTAGTTCGCAGACATTTCATTACCCTGCTGGATAACATCATCAGTGCAGCCTCCGATGAAGCACTGTTATGTTTTCCCGCCTGGTATTTAAACTCTGGGGTCCATTGGGGGGATTTGATTATCTCATTCCCAGTTTTCCTTCGCAGTAGTGCATATATAGGGTCTACTTCTATGTGTTTGTTGATTGCCTGCTTGGTGGAGAACTAGGACTCTAGGAATTCCCATGCTTGTCTCTGTTTGGCCTGTCCTAGGATCCTGGTGTTGTCCCAATCGAACTGGTGGTTCTCCTTATCTGTGGGAATGGAGATGAGTGAGTATTGGTCAGGAGGGTGCGTCTTTTCATTGCTAGTTGGTGTTCAAAGACACAACCAATACTCACTCATCTCCATTCACACGGGAATTCCTAGAGGCCTAGATTTCCACCAAGAAGGCCATCAACAAACACATAGAATTCGACCCTGCATATACACCATTGCGAAGGAAAACCGGAAATGAGATAATTAAATCCAACGGACCCCAGAGTTTGAATACCAGGCAGGAAAACACAACAGCACTTCATCGGAGGCTGCGCTGATGATGTTACCCAGCAAGGTAATGAAATGTCTGTGGAACAACGAACCATCTCAGTGAACGAACCAACCACAGCATCGACAACCCAAGCTACAGATCTACTCAAGAACCTGAGACACCAATTTCTTGGTTGCCATGATTCCAGATTTTTAATTGAATCCAAATTCCCCCATCTGCCATGGCAGAATTCGAACAAGGGTCCCCAGAATATTCTCTTGTCTCTGATGTGATGATCACATGATGTTGGAGAGACTCTGGAGGGACCAGCTTAGAAGTTATGCTTAGCCAGAATGTGTATAGCTGGGATAATGTATATAATGAATTAGTTTTAGAAGACCGCATACTCTAGCTACATTTCTATCCTACAGTAGCACATTCTCAACACCCTTTCAGACACTACATGACAATAACAGATGGTTCCACTGGTGAAAATACCCAGCAGAGGTTTAGAGCAGCAGGATAAAAACCCCAAGCGCATAGCTAGTTACAAGTTGATACCATAGAAGAAAGTTTCAGGAGAATCCTAGCAATTGGTTGGAGGGGTGTGTGTGGTTGGTGCCTGTGGAACATGCTGGTGTCTGATGTCCAATGTGGGAATAATTTAGACCAAGCAGTGAGTTGAAACCATTCTGGTTTCCTTATCAAGCATTCCCGACATCAGATTTGTTTGCTTAGTTTAGTAAGGTGGGAGTCTGAATATTAATGTGGTGAGTTATGCTGTTTACAAGACATTGAATAATCAATAATGGCCATCAGTTGGCACCTTACTGCACTACATCATGATCTGGGTCATTGTCCCTCAATACTTATATAAAATGTCATACTTTAGAAAAAGAAATGAAATTCATTATCCATATATTGCAATGTTCTCACTAAATCCAACAATTTATCTGTCAGTTTAAGAATCAGAACTCCTCATTTGTAAAACTAATCATCAGGATGTGAGTCACCAGGTTGTAAGGAAATGCAACCAAGTCTATTCCCTATTCCTAGTTGCTCTGAGTTTGAATGATTGAATGCCTTGCTGAACTTTCAGAGGACAGCTACTAATAAACCATGTTGATCACATATAGACTGGACGAGTTAAGGACCAGCTCTCCTTCTCTAAAGGAACCAGTTGCTTTGTTGCGGCAATCTGATCATTTCTTGCATTTGAACATTTTTTTTCTCTGGCCATTAACATAATCATGATACTACTGTAGCTATCTTGGGTAAAAACCATGTGAAACATATCCATTTTTTAAATGCAAATTACTTATTGGAATTTCTTTCAGATGCCTGGTGGAAAAGGGCGATGTTACTTTCCTCGTTCATACAACTGTCTTTGAGAACACTGATGGTATGTGTGAGTTCCTGGCCCCACAGTTTTACCTGAACAAGCACAGGTCTCAGTAGTAACCAAACTTAGACTGGGTACTGGCAATAAAGACACAAAGAAACAACATCTGGTGGATTTAAAGCACGATTCTAATGTTTGACTGGCATGTTTTACTTATGTAGAATTGATTTTTGGAATCAAAACATTCAACCTCTCAAACCTGCTCCGCCATTTTCTCACATCATGTCCTTTAACTCCAATGAGCATGGTTTTATTCCCTATTTTATACTTTTCCCCTATAAAATCCAACTTTAAAGCGAGATGAGGCAGACACTGTCCCCGGTAAACTGGGAAAATCTACTAATGAGTAAAACAACTCAAGAACACTGGAAGATGTTTAATGAAACATTTAATGCAATGCTGGGTCAAAACCCTGAAAAAAACATCCCAGGGTCAAATGCTGGGTCAAAAAACATCCCAGGGGAAATTACTGACATAACTAGGATGACAGGCAATAGAAAGTAGGGATAAGTAGTCACATTGGAAGATTTGACCAGTGGTGTTCCACAAGGATCTGTGTTCAATTTATCAATTATTCACATTATTTATTAAGGACTTGGATAGTGACATAGAAAGTCATATGTTCAAATTTGCTGATGACACAAAGTTAATTGGCATTGTAGACAGTGTGGATGTAACATAAAATAACAAAGAGATAGACTAAGTGAGTGGGCAAAACTGTGGCAGATGGAGTTCAGTGTAAGCAAGAATGAGGTTATCCATTTTGGACTAAAAAATGGATAGATCAGGGTACTTTCTAGATGGTATGAAGTTAAATACAGTGGATGTTCAAAGAAGCTTGGGGTTTCAGGTGCGTAGATCTTTTAAATGTCACAAACAGGCACAGAAAGTGATCAAGAAAGCTAATGGAATGCTGGCCTTTATATGTAGAGGACTTGAGTACAAGGATACAGGAGTTATGCTGCAGTTATACAAAACCCTGGTTAACCATGACATGGAACACTGTGAGCAGATCTGGGCACCACACTTTCATAAAGATATATTGGCTTTGGAGGGAGTACAGTGCAGGTTTACAGGAATGATACCTCCACTGCAGGGGCTTATTTGTGAGGATAGATTATACAAATTAGACTTGTTCTTGCCAGAATTTAGAAGGTAACTGGGTGATCTGATCAAAGTCTTCAAGACATTAACAGGAAACAGCAGGATAGCTAAAGATAAGCTATTTCCATTAGCTAGAGATTCTAGACCTAGGGGGCAAAGTCTGAGAATTAGGTCCAGACCATTCAGGAGAGATTAAGAAGCCATTCCAGACACAGAGGATGGTGGGTGTTAGGAACTCTTCGACAAATAGAAGTGGATGCTGGATCAGTTGCTAATTTTAAGCCTGAGAAATAGATAAATTTTTGTCAAGCAAAGACATTAAAGGATATGGGCCAAAGGGAGGGTATGTGGAGTTAGATCAGAGATCAGCCATGGTCTCATTGAATGGTGGAACAGGTTTGAGTAGCTGAATGATCTATCCCTGTTCCAATATTTCTGAGCCACCACTGATCTCCAGCATTAGTCTTTTGGAAGAGAATTTTTATTTCTATGACCCTTTTTGGGGTGAAGTGTTTCTGATTTCCCTCCTAAACAGCCTCGTTCAGATCTTAATTTTGTATCTCTTTGTTCTCGAGCCTCCCCCTTAGGAAATTATTAACCTCTGTACAAGTGAATCTGTTTCACTTTTTAAGTATCTCATCAGACCAGTCCTCAATGTCCTCAAAGGGGACGCTGTTGTATTTATTTGTGAGTTGCAGGATGCTGACACCAATCCACTGTTTTTGACTGGATGTAAGGGACTATTTAATTTACATTGATACAGGAAGAACCACTAGTGAGACTTAACAAGAAGAGGCCATTGTCTTAACAAGATATAAGTTACATTATTGCTAAAAATATTGAGAGACATAGATGGCACATCTTTCCCCCTCAAATCCAAAGCTATTCCTTTCATTTCCCTACCTAAGACTGTAAGACATGATCTGATTGGGTAGAGCTTAAAGCAGGCTCCAGCATTAACCCTGTCAGAGCAATTACTTAATCCAACAAATGCAAACCATGTTTTTGGAACCTAACCCCCTCAGAATGTATTCCCCTAGAGTCTGGAATGGGCTAACTGTAATAGAACAGTGTTTCTGCGAGTATGTCAGTGAGGACTATTGGACAAACCCCAGTCAAATAACTAAAATGAATTTAATTCACGTACTATTTATTTATTTATTTAAGTGAATGAGTAAGTGGAATTGCCTAATGGTCTCGATAGGCAAAAGCATTGCCTCAATAGGCCTCCTGTGCCTCTAAATCAGAGAGTTATGAATCCAAGTTCCTCTGTAGAGATTGGGCAGGGACATTTTGTGAACTAAAGATCTTTATGTATACGTCCAGCAGGATTGGATTGTTTATTTCAAATTAGGGCAACAGTCAACCATTTGGCTCCTTTAGCCCTGTCACTGTCCTCTGTTGGAAGAGGGTTCCACATACTCATGACTGTCTAGAGGAAGAAAACCATCTCCTCATCTCTCACCCCTTATTTTACACTATGTCCTGGTACTAGTCTGTCTTATAAAGGGAAATAAGAGGGATGGTAATAATTGCAAACTGACCGTTGAAAGGGCGGTAAAGGCAGAAATCTTCATAATATTTTTAAAAAGTATGTGGATCTGCTGTAACACACATGGCTATTGGTAACGAATTGCTAAATAGATTTAGGGATTGCTTAATTGTCAGCCAGCAAGGACACGATGGACTGAATGACCTCCTCCCATGCTATGCATTTCTAAGAATCTTGCACTCATTCAACAAAGGGGGCAAAATTCTTCATTGGCAAATCTCTGGGCGCTGTGTGAAACAACGGGAGAAATTCATGATCACCAATTCTGTGTTACTACCCGAGACAGATTTTACCTACACATGAAGATGGAAGCCGTTTTGTTCTGGCTGAGTGAACTAGGTGAACTGATTATGGCTTCCTAATTCAGAGTTGCCTTTGATTCAGATCAAGATACAGTCTCATTCATGTTATTTAATTTATTCTCAAAAGCGTAATTTGAAACGTTTATTCTTTTATAGAAAACTGCTTCTTTTGCAGATTTATCACCAACACCTGTGGTGGACTGAAGGGTCTTTTGTTTTGTAGATTTCTATGACTGTAACTTATTATCTTGGAACTATACAGAGATGGTGCTATTTCCTAAGTGTGTAACAAGATTTAATCACTTTTCAACTGTCCACTCCATGCTACAGCTCAAGATTCCAGCTTTTTCTACTTTCCTCTGATCCTGTGCCCAAGCATGACCAATCAAGCACAGTCAGTGTGTTGGTAAACAGACTCACATGATCAGATATGAAACAATGGAACGCTCTGGGGCCCACTTTCATGGGTCGTTCTATTTCACGTGATGGGAAGAAGAGAATCAAAGTGTAATGTGATGTGATAGGAGAATTGGATTATTTTGAGGTCAGTTGCTCTGCAGATAAAGTTTTGAATCTGTGTACCGCTACTCTGTATATTCTAAACCAATCAATATTTCACCTTGAAGGTAATTCACAAGAGGAGTGGGCTACGGGTCTCAGGTCCAGTGATTTTAAGCTGCTGTGCTTAAATGGCACTCAGGCTCCAGTAACAGATTATAAGACGTGCCACTTGGCTCAAGTACCAGCTCGAGCAGTTGCATCCCGTGCTGAGTCAAGGCGTCAAGTCCTGCAGTTTTTAAAGGACCAGCAAGTGAGTATGTGGGTTTTACTAAATGTTTGGGGCTTGCATGTTCTTTTTCTTCAATTCACTAACCAAATCGCTCAAATAATCTATTAGACAAATAATTAACAAGGACAATTACAAAAGGTGGAGGAAGGGTTGGAAGAAAAGGAGGGACGAGTTAAAATGGAGTTGGAGGGAGAGGTAAATGCACTCTGGTCCCAACATTGCTCACCTCTCATTCTGACCGTTTACCAATTGAATGCAATCAGTTACAGTTTCAGGATTTGAGTTGAGCTTGTTGCAAACATTTCAGATTGGTGCGCTGTGCAATTGAACTGTTTAGAGGGAGCTATACTCTGACTGCAACCTGCACTATACCTGACCTGGTATAACCCTCACCAACCGCACCCAATAACCCAGCTGGAACTCTCAATGTTGTGGTGGAGCGTTTTCAGATTGAACACATTATTTTATTCTTTATTCATTCAGGGGATTTCTGGCTAGACTGGCATTTATTGCCCATCTCTAATTACCCAATGGCCAGTTGAGAGTCAACCACATTACTGTGAGTTCAGAATCACGTATAGACCAGACCCAGTGAGGATGGCAGATTTCCTTCCCTAAAGGGCATTAGTGAAGCAGATGGGTTTTTACAACAATCGACAATGATGACATGGCCGCCATTAGGCCAGATTTTTATTCCAGCAATTTATTGAATTAAAATTTCACCATCTGCTAGACTTGGATTCAAACGTGCATCACAGAGCATCAGGCTGGGGTCCAATGGCATTACCACTACAACACCACTGTCCACTCCAAGTAATGTCCATTCTCCAAACTCAAAAAGAGACAAGTTTGAAAATTGGAGAGAGTTGCTGAGTATAGAATCCCTACCGTGTGTAAGCAGGCCATTTGGCTCATCGGGTCCACATCAACTCTCCTAAGAGCAGCCCTGCCCCCTGTCCTATCCCTGTAAACGTACATATCCTATGTCTAATCCACCTAGCCTGTACATCTTTGGACACTATGGGCAATTTAGCATGGCTAATTCACCTAACCTGCACATCTTTGGACTCTGAGACGAAACCCATGCAGACATGGGGAGAATGTCCACACAGACAGTCACCCAAGACTGGATTCAAATCCAGGTCCCTGGTACTGTGATGCAGCAGTGCTAACCACTGAGCCACCGTGCTCAGTGTCTGGTCAAATCTGTCATGGTGAGTGTAGAGTACTGTTTGGGACTCTCGAGGCTAATTGAGTACATAATAGATAATGATGTTGATCAGTATCACTACGCATCCTGAAGATAAAGGTAGCTCATGTGCAGACCATGAGAGTGCATTTATTCCATCAGTAATCAGTGGTTTCTCAATGCAGCTCAAACACGGCCATGGGGGATCTGAGGAGGACCAGTTTGCAATGTTCAGTTCGACCAAGTTTCATGGCAAGGGTCTTCTGTTTTTGGATATGACTCAGTGTCTGATTGAAGTGCCCACCGCAAGTTTCTCTCAATTACTGCGTGAGTGGTATGTCACAGCAACAGAAGGACTCTACAGCTGTGAACCTCCTGGTAAGTATGACTGAAACACCCTATTCAGTATATTGTAATGGGCTGCACAAGATAAACTTTCATACACTAGGACCCTGGAATCCCTGAATACCAGGAAATAGGACAGCTTCTTTCCTTTTTCACAGACTTATTAGAATAACCAAATATCTTTAAACTTGGAATGAAGTGTATGATAGGGACAACGTAGAAGCAATTAACAAGTTTGTGTTTATTCAGCACAAGGAATGAAGCGGGGGGCACAATAATTAAAAACTAGACACCAACTGCAACCAGGAGGCTTGGTCGAGAGATCAGATTTCAGCTGAGTTTTAGAGGAGGGAGTAATGTTTATAGGCAGAGGCAGCTAGGGAGGAAATTCCAGGGCAGCACATTTCAGCAGCAAAAGGGACAGTAGAATTGGAGAGTAAACTGAAGATGGAAAGTTGCAAAATGCTCAAAAGCTCAAGGAGATTACAGGGAAAGGGAAGGTCCAGGCCATGAAAGGATACTCCTGAATATGAGCTTCAGAAGGACAGCTTTCAATTTTCAGTTTAACTTTCAATTACTATTTTTCAAAAAAGCTGGAGAAACATCTTGCTCAATGGATAATGTGCCATAAACAGTTTCCACCTTTGAAATGCATGGAGACTGGGCAACTATTTAGCCCCTTGAGCCTCTTCTGCCTTATCTCTCAGATGGATCTGAATCTTGACTGCGTTTCCCCATTTGGTTCCCTCGATCTTAAAAACATTTTGATCTAACACAGACCTGTAAATCTTCATTTCGAAATTTTTATTGCAGTACAAAAGCAGGTAACCAATGCTGAATGTTTACGAACACCGGCTTGGACTCCAGAGTTTAGAATGGAGGGGAAGGATTTAGAGACGAATGAAGAGATTGGAGTTGTTCTCATTAAAGTTGAGAAGTTTGAGAGGGGATTTGACAGAGGTAATCAAAATCATGAGGTACTCACATGGACGCACAGGCAGAAATTTCTCAATTGGCGGTAAGGTGGAGAGCTGGAGGCTACAGGTACAAACTGAGTATCAAAAGAGCCAGAGGCGAAAGTAGCATAAATCTTTGTTGTGCAGAGAGTGGTTATGATGTGGAATGCACTACCTGAGCAATGGAATAGATTCAACCCGGAGTCCAGAAGCAAATTAGAAGTGGGAGACAATTACAGGGAAAAGAGGAAGGAGTGTGTGAAGGTGTCAAGCTGAGTTGCTCTTCCAGAGAGCTGACATTGACATGATAATAATTCCACCAGCAGTTTCAGCTACTGAATTTCCCTGCATAATAATGAATGGGTGGAAGTTGTAGACTGATTGACACAGAAGCCGAGAGATCAGGAGATTCGATTATTACTCTCTCATTGACGTTTTCTTTTGTTACAGTTTCCCCTGAAATCTATCGCCTTGGTCGTTGCCAACATTGAGTTGGTTATGGTTTCCCCAGTGATCACTCAGCAATTCGCTGTGTCTTTGTTCTTCCCTCCGTCTGGGTCAATATCAGCCTGAGCGTAGCAATATCCTCTCTGTGTCCGCCTCACTGCTTGTATGTACTGCACTTATGATCAATAAACTTGGGATAACAAGGTGTAGAGCTGGATGAACACAGCAGGCCAAGCAGCATCAGAGGAGCAGGAAGGCTGACGTTTCGGGCCTAGAGCCTTCTTCAGAAAATCAGTAAACTTGGAACTGAATCTGATTTCCTCCTGTCACTAAATAAACTATCGCTGTCAGTAATTACAATTCACTCATTGAGTAATTGTGAAGTTCAGCAACTGTAGGAAGCTGCACAGCTGGTAATTTCAGATGAAAGGTGGATGTGGTTGATTCAGATCATCCTGCATTCAAATCCAGCCCAAACAGATAAGTGAAATTTCCTCCCTAGCTGCCTCTGCCTATAAACATTACTCCCTCCTCTAAAACTCAGCTGAAATCTGATCTCTCGACCAAATCACAGCGATTTCGACTCAGTCAGATTCCTGCACTTTTACACAGTTTCGATTAAGAACCAGCAAAGACGCCTCTCACATGTGGCCATGCCCTCATGTCAAGATGTGGATACTGTTAAAGATTTTTTGATAAAAAATCAACAAATCCACTTTCAGATTGAGGGGAGGCATGATGTGGAGTAAGTGATTTATCTACTGTCTGAATGCAGCTCTCTAATTTACATATTTTAATGTGATTGAGAGATTCAGATTTGAGCTGGTTGTCTTTAATCAAGGGACCATATCACTTCCTCCAGAGTGTTGTAGCTATTCGGAACATTGTGTGGTGGCAGGCCATCTGCAGTTTGGATCATCCCACTGGTCGTGGCCTGAGGCCCTGTTCTGAAATTCAGTCATGGGCCAACATTTATTTCCCATCCCTGGGTGCCCCAGACGAGATGATGGTGAGCTGTCTTCTTGAACCGGGGCAATCTATTTGCTTGGCCCACAACATTATTGAGGAGAAGTTCTAGGACTTTGACCTAGCAACACTGAAAGAACAGTGATATATTTCCAAGTCAGGATGGTGAGTGGCTGGGATGTAAACTTACAGGGGGTGGTGTTCCCATGTATCTGCAGCTCTTGTCCTTCCTAATGGAAGTGTTCGTGGGTTTGGAAGGTGCAGTCTAAGGATGCTTGGTGAATTTCTGTAGTGCGGCTTATAGATAATACACACTGCTGCATATTGCTGGGAAGACTGGATGTTTGTGAATGTAGTGCCAATAAAGCGGGCTGCTTTGCCATGGGTGGTGTCAAACTTCTTGAGTGTTGTTGGAGCCAAATACATCCAGGCAAGTGTGGAGTCTTCCATCACACTCCTGACTTGTGCCCAATCTTCCGTTTAAGCTACATGGGTGCGAGGGTCTGCCCATGGCGATGCCATTGCCATTCGCAGCATTCACCTACAATTCCAGAAGTTGCTGCCATGCACAGACCTTGGATTTCTGCACAGAAAAAAAAGAGTGGAAACATTGCTTGTTCCTTGCAGATGGTCGACAAATACTAGAGAGTCAGGAAGTGAGGTACTCACTGCAGTATTCCTAGCCTCTGACCTGCTCTTGTAGTCACAGTGTTTATATGGAGAGTCTAGATCAGTTTCTGGTCAATGATAACCCAATGGTTGATAGTGGGGCATTTAGCGATGGTAACACCATTGAATGTCAAGTCGCGGTGGTTAGATTGTCTCTTATAGGAGATGGTCATTGTCTGGCATTTGTGTGCTGTGGATATTACCTGCCACTTCTGGGTGTCAGGCCGGTCATTATCCAGATTTTGCTGCATTTGACCATAGACTGCTTCCATGGACATGGGCTCTTCTTAAGGGTCACAAATGGTGCTGAACATTATGTAATCATTGGCGAACATTCCCACTTCTGTCCTTATGATGGACAGAGGATCATTGATGAAGTAGCAGAAGATGTTTGGGCCAAGGACACTATCCTGAGTAAGTTCTCCAGAGATGCCCTGGGCTGAAGTGAATGATGCTTAATAACCACAGCCAGCTTCCTATGTGCCAGTTGTGATTCCAACTAGCAGAGAGTTTGCCATCTGATGCCTATTGATACCAGTTTTGCTAGGGCTCCTTAATGCCACACTCGTTCGAATGCGGCCTTGATATCAAGGGCTGTGACTCTCACCTCACCTCTGGAATTCAGTTCTTTTGTCCATGTTTGAACCAAGGCTGTAATGAGATCAGGAGCTGAGTGGCCCTGGCAGAACCCAAACTGGGTGTCACTGAGCAGGTTATTGCTGAGCAGGTGCTGCTTGTTGATGACACATTTTATCACTTTACTAATGGGGTGGTAATTGGCCGGGGTGGATTTGTCCTGCTTTTTGTGCACAAGACACACCTGGGAACCATTTCACAATGTTTGGTAGATGCCAATGTTGTAACTACACTGGCACAGTTTAAGTAAACTTTAATTTGCTGCTTAAGGGCCTCATACTGTAGGATGGGCAGGTCGATCCTAAAGACCTTCCCACTCTGAACGTACTTCAGGCAGTCACAGGAAAATGGCAGAGTTTGGATATGCCATACACCCAGCACACTAAATGCCCTTCCTGCCTCCAAACTTGCCACCTCTGAATGCAGAAGATTGTGCCTTTGATGTTGTCTATATCTATTTATACACATATGCCTTTGTTACTGTAGAGTAATAATCACACTGTAGCTACAAGGAAGTATAAATGCTGATATGAATAGGAAAGAAGATTGTTGTACTCAGGCCAGAGACAACTAGTGCAGAGCTCAGCTACCTCTAGCCTGATCTGGAACCCAGTTTTTGTGAACTTTAACCATGATTGAAGAGTATAGTGAGTTTTATTTCGAATAGAAGAAAACAAAAGCTTTTCAACAACTAGTACAGAAAGAAAATTGACTGAAATTCACTTTTGACGATAAATGTTCACGAATGCTTTGATCCATTACATTAATAAAATGCCGCCGTTCCCTTTGCTTTAACTTTATCCTGGTCTCAATGTTAGAAAAAGGGTATAGTGTGGATGGGGAGAAAAGAAATACTTGCAAGATTAATAGCAAAACTGAAAAAGTATAACTATCAGGAAAGACTGAATTATGGAGTTCTTAGGAAAAGAGAAGGCTGAGGTATTGAGAAGATAGATGCCTTGAAAATTATGGAAGGGTTTGATTGAATAATCACAGAGAAAATATTAACTTGAAGGAATTTCAAAACCATGTGCAGTGAATATAGTATAGGCAGCAATAAACACCATAAAATAATTAAGGAGAAACCTCTTTACGCTGTAGGTGATTTTGTTAACAGCTCTTCCTACCTGTCCCTGCCCTCTTAATGACTCATGCACATGCACACTCAGGCCTCTCTGCTCCTCCACACCGTTTAGAATTGTCCCCCTTATTTTAATAGTATCTCTCCGTATTCTCTGTCCCAAAATGCATGATATCACACTTCGCTTCATCTGCCACTTATCTGCTGCCTGCACCAACTTGTCAACATCTTTTTGAAGTTCTACACTGCTCACCTCAGAGTTTCCAATGCTCCCAAGTATCGTTTGCCTGAAAATATTGAAATTGTCCACTGCATAACAAGAATGTAGATCACACTTAGACAGCAGGGAAAGCAAGGGTCCTGATACTGACTCCTGGGATATTCCACCACAAAACTTCCTCTGGTCCAATAAGTACCCAAAACCATTATACTCCGTTTTCTATCCTCAGCCAATTTTATATCCATGTTGCTACTGTCCTTTTTGTTCCATGGCTTGTCACTTACCTTCCAAGGCTTTTGGTGGCACTATATTGAAAGCCTTTTGGAAGTACATGTACGCTACATAAACAGCATTGCCTTCAGCAATGGTGTCTGCTATCTCTTCAAAAACTCCAGCAAGTTAACTTGACATCATTCACCTGAACGCAATCTAAGAATGCTTAGTTCTGATGAAGAGTCACTGGACTCAAAACATTAACTCTGCTTTCTTCCCACAGATGTTGCTGGACCTGCAGACCTTCTCCAGCAATTTCTGTTTTTGTCTAAGAATGCTTGCCCCACATTGAACTTTACACTGACATTATTATTGTCTGTATTCAGATGATTAATGTCTCCCAATGCAGCTACTGCATGAGGTCTGGGCCTCTCTGTAAGTTCTTTGCAGATTTGTTCCTCTCTGTCTTTCCTACTAGTTGGTGATCTACAGATTGCATTGAGCAATGTAATTGCACACTTTTTGTTCCATGTTCTAGCCAATCGATTCTTTCGTTGAACCCTTTTGGACATCCACTTTCTCCATCACTACAGAGCTATCTTTAACCAAAACTGACTCATCTTCCTTTCATTCCTCTTTCCTGCTTTTTATGAACACCTTGCAGCTACTTTACAGTACATTTTATGTAGTGTCTATATAAATGAAGCATAATCTCCTTACTTTTGTTCTTAATTCCCCTTGTATTGAATGATAACATTTCTGCACCTGCATTACAGCCTTTTGCGATTCATGCACTAGAACACCCAAATCTCTCTGCATCTCAGAGGTTCTGAAATCTCTCACCATTTAGATAATATGCTTCCTTTTTATTCTTTCTGTTAAAATAAACAGTTTCAAATTTTGTTCTCTTCCTTACCTATCTTTTGTGTCATCAGCAAATTTGTTGTTTGTCCTTTCATCCAAGTCAGTTATGTAAATTGTAAACAGTTGAGGTCTCAGCTTTGATCCCTGTGGCACACTACTCATAACAACTTGCCAACCAGAAAATAAGACTCGTTTATGCCTACTCTCTGCTTTCTATTAGCCAGACAGTCTTTCATCTGTACCAACATGCTATCCCCTAAATCAGGAACTTTTAGTTTTTGCAAAAATGTGATACCCCATCAAATGCTTTCTGAAAATCTAAGTACAGCAATCTACTGGCTCACTTTAATGCAAAGCACAAATGACTTCTTCTAAAATTTCAACAGGTTGTTTAAATATGATTTACCCTGTACACAACCATGTTGACTTTGTCTTGAATCACCTTGAACCACCCTGAACTTATTTAAGTGCTCTGCTATAACTTCTTTAATAATAGCTTCTAACTATTTTCTCTCTGACAGATGTTAAGCTAACTGGCCTATTGTTTCCTGCTTTCTTTCACACCGAAACCTTCCGCCACCATCACATTTTTTGAATAAAGGAATTACATTCGCTATCTCCCAATTAAGCTAATTTAGGGAACTTTGGAAAATTAAAACCAATAAATCAGCTGTCTGTCTTCCCACCTATTTTTAAGACCCTAGGATTATATCCAACAGGACCTGGGCACTTGTGTCAGCCCACAGTTCCAACAATTTCCTCAGAACAAGGCTGCCCCTCCTCTGGTGATTTTCCTGCATTGTTTCCTTTATAACATTTTCTGATTTTTCACGCTTCTGGAATGTTACTTGTACCCTCTTATAATATTTGTAGAAACTCTTCCTGTCTGTTGTTATATTTCTGGCTAGCTTTCTCTTGTACTCTAATTCTCCCCTCATTAATTTTTTAATCATTCTTTACTTTTTTTTAAAATCCTGTACAATCTTTTGACCTCAGACATAATTTTGTGCAGTCGTATGCTTTTATTTTTAGGGTGTCCATATCGGTCCATTTGTGTGATGGTGTGGTTAGTTTTTGTGTCAACGTAAGTCAGTTTTGTGATAGTGTCAGATAATGTGGATGTTAGTGATGGTCAGTTTGGGTTGTGTTGCCAATCAATTCAGAAGATGGTATTGATAAGCTTGGGTATCAATGTCAGTCAGTTGGTGTGATGGCATTGGTCAGCTCGGGTGGTGGTGCCAGTCCTTTTAGGTGTCAGCGTTGGTCGACCTCTCCAGGCATATATAGCCTATTCGCAGAAAGAGTTAACAGCAGAACCCATGAGAGTTGTTGCAAGTTCAGAGTTGGCCACTGGATGGTGCCATACACCCATGCATTCTAGTGGAATTTCCAACCATGGGATCATTCATTTTTAGTGATGAGAGAATTGTTGAATTACTGAGATCCAAGTCACTCAACAGCACCACATTTTAGTGCTTCAGCGTTTAATCTCTTCAAGGTTATTTACCAAAGCTCACCTTTTTAAAGGGCCAATCGTGACAGACAATGGCAAACGCACCCACAGTTGTGATTGAGTAACAACTAAAAAGAACGAGAGTCAGAGGGTAAAAAACAGGGATACAGAAACACACACAGGGGGAGGTGGTGACAACTAAGTGTAGAAACAGAAATACTATTGACCATGTGAGGTTACCTTCATGACTTACAGTAATAGCATTCTAATTTCACAGGTCGGTGCAACATCAAGGGCCGAAGGGCCTGTACTGCGCTGTAATGTTCTATGTTCTATGTGCATCATTCTGTCCATAAATAAATTTACTCAACTTCATGGCTCTGTTATCTAGCACCACTGCAATGCCATCGACGCTCAAATTAAAAACAAATTTCCAGCAATTTAATTAAAGCAAATAACTGATTCAGATCCTCATTCTCTAGGCATTTTTTTTCAAATCTGTCATATTGAAGTTGACATCTCGTGTGTGCAAGTGCTGGGATCTCTGAGAATCATTGAATGATTGATTGGTTACAGTACGGAAGGAGGCCATTCAGCCTGTTGTCTCCGTGGTGGCTCTCTGCACAAACAACTCAGCAAATTCCACTCATCCACCCATTTCCCCATTGACCAATTTGTACACCTTTGTATTAAATTCCAACAGCTGCTCATTTAACCAGCCCAGTCCATATCCTCTGAAGTCTATCAATCCCTGTCCCCTCACAGTTAACTGAAATTTTGTTTCGAACCTGTGCCCTGCGCACCCAAATTTAGGTCATCAACATGCATCGAGAAAAATTGGGAATACAGTGTTGACACCTGAGGCATCTCAGTCTAGACTTTCTCTAGTCTGCAAGACAAATCTTCACCACCATCCTCTGCTCCCTGTCACTTGGCCAATTTGGACCCACACTGTGAATGTCCCTTTTATTCTATGGGCCTCAAATTTGCCTGAATTATGGCACTTTATCAAATGCCTCTTGGGAGTCAATAAACATCATATCAACTACAATACCTTCAACAACCTTTCCTGTTACCCGATCATAATTTGCCTTAAAAAAATACCAACCAACTTTGCTTAATTAATTAATTCACAATTGTTGAAGTGATGGCTTATCTTGACCTGGATTATCACTTCAAAAAGCAATCCCACGAGGAGGTTAAATTGGCTGGCCTGGAGTTTATTTTTGCCCGTGGCCATTGCTTTTACAATTTTCCAGACCTCTGGCGTCATCTCTGTGCCTGAGGAGACTGGTGCCCCCACAATTTTACACCTTCACTTCTCTTGGCATCCTTCACTACCATGCAATTCCGATGACTCAAATGTCAACCATAAGGAGAGCCAGCCCATCTAATACCTCCACTTGAACTCCTTTTAGCCCAGTCTGTGAGTTGAATTGTACCTGGGCCCTGGAATCTCTTGCATCCTGCACCCTACCTCCTCCTGTACAAACGTTTGGGGAAAGATTGGCTAGAGTTTAAAGGAAGTCCTCCTAGGTGTGGTAGGTCCCAAGGAGAGGAATGAGGCAGCTTGGGGGACTGGTATTAACAATACAGAACAAAGGGAGACATAGGGTTGGAATGATCTTGAGATTGAGGCCTCCAATATGCAACTCCCTCCTCCAGTGCTTTGTCTGGCCATAGACAAGTGGAAACAAGCAAAGCTGGGCTCTTACTGTCAGACGCAGGTAAAATCTCACTAGTGGCCAGAGGAGGTGCGCAAATGGGACCGGGGTGAATGAGACTTCCCCGCACCCTACCACCCACACACCTTCAGAAACATTGCCAAAGCCAGTGAAGGGTATCGACCACAGTTAGTCATTCAGGACCAGTGCAACCAGTCTAGAGAGTCACGGTACGTCAGTCAGAGGGCCACACAAAGATCAGTCAGGGGCGTGATCACACATCAAATTGGACTTCAATGCAAGTCAACACAGATTAGCAGAAGCCTATGGAAGCTGGGGGAGTTCATTTTAGGAATTGGAGGCAGCGTGCTGGGACACAGAGAGGACAATTATTCTTAATGGAGAAAACACAATACATATGGGAGGGAGACATTGGAGGACATGGATTTCTGCAGGAAGGGGTGGGTCATTGACAGAGACCACCGCCATTCCTTTGACAGGAGTGGTGCAGCACAATGTTGGGCATGGCTAAACTGTAAGCCCAGGACTCAGGGCTAATGTTGGCAGATGAAATTCATCACAGGTCCTCAGGCAGCTTCATCCAAACCCATGACAACTTCCATCCAGAAGGACAAGAACAGCATGGGAACACTACCATCTGCAAATTTCTGTCCAAATCACACACCACTCTGACTCAGAAATATATCACCATTTCTTCACTGTCACTGGGTCAAAATACTGGAATTCTATTCCTCAGGGTATTGTGGGTCAATCTACAGCACAGGGACTGAGACAGTTTAAGAAGGCAGCTCACCACCACCTTCTTAACTAGGGATAAGCAATAAATGCTGCCCAGCTAGTGACTCCCATGTTAAAAAGGGGTGGTCGACATCTCCCTGATAAATAAAACCAAAACATCCAGAGAAGCTTGCCTCACCTCGTAATCTGTTAAAGGAAGTGTGAAAAGAGATATAATCTGCCTCTCACCCCCAATCTATTATAAAGGAATGGTTAAATGCAAGAAACCCCTGATACTCACTTTATAAGCACCAAGTAAGAATTTATTTATCTAACTCTAATAGTAAGCAAATTTAACAGAACTACTAACAAACTGAACAATTCCCCCTTAACTACTAACTATTCCCGAATAAAACAAAATTCTAATGGTATGCTGTTCTAATAAATACAAACCCCACTTATATATACCAAAGTAATAAGAAAAAAATAAATTAAAACTTAGTCTCTTGAAATTACAGCCAGGATAAGTCTTCCGGAATGTTCTTTGCTTTCTCTGCTGTTTTCCATTCAGGAACGCCCTGTTCCGTTGAATTCGTGTGTCAGGAGCATTAGCTAAGAATGCCGTAGTACTTTTATTTGGATGGTCCTTATTGTGAGAGTTTAGAGATTTCTGTGAGACCCAGTGACTTTCTCTTTCTTTACAGCTGTTGACAGCTGTTCTCACACTGATTTTCAAATGCCCTCTTCTTTTATACCCTTGATGACCTATTACTTTTTTACAAGAGGATTGGTCCTAGGTTGTCAAAACCCCATCAGATTTAAATTTAATTGGATTTTGGAGTCTAGGGACGGGTTTAAATTATTTGGCTAAATTCAAAAACCTGTTGTCTTGCTGAAAATGCTGCTTTGCCTGCTAACAGTATAGCCTTCTGATACAGTGTTTCAATTTCAAGAATTCTCTATGCATCTGCTGCTGCCTGCAGACATTTTTTAAATCTCCAAGCCTAGAAAAGCACATCATCTTGTAAAAGGACCACCACGCACTGTTTCCCCCCTATCATTTTGCAAACAAATTCTAATGTCCTGCCTTCCATTCCATGAGTATTCTACCCAACTGTGCAACACCCAGGAGTGAATAAAAAAAGCTGAGTGCAGATACAATGCAGCCCATTCTTCCACCAGGGCCATGGTAGAGCGGACACTAAGCCTTCAGAAGATGCTTGTATTGGTCTGGGTTGACCTTGCAGCTTACTCTGGACCTGGGTGCCACACAATCCTGACATGCTCCACTCTGCAGGAAGACAGGGGGTGTGATGGAAGCCGAAGTGCTGGGAGAGTGGCAGCAGTGCTCTGAGCAGCAAGATGAGGACACTGAGCAGGAAGGATATCTATTCAACATGATCTTGAAGTGCAGTGTCAAGCACTATTAGCTAGAGAACACATATCTGACAGGCGCTTCTGGTAAATGTGAGCTGGGTGCAGTGATTGTAAATGTATTACTGCTCAAAAGGCAAGCAGCCCCTGTCTGTTTCTTAGAGACAAATGGAGCTTCTATTTGCTTGTTTTATTCTTTGCTTTTGCTGAATAAAGGTGAATCTTCTGAATGATTTGAAGGCTTTGTAGTATGTGAAGGACTCACATTCAACAAGAAGATGTTTGGTTACATTGGGCAGTAGCGGGAGAATAACACTCCCTCAGTTCTCTAAGATAGAATGACATTCAGGACAGGCAACCTGTGTGACTTGGTCCTTAAACAACAATAGATTTACAAACATGTGGCTGAGTGTGCAATGAAGCATCAGCCATGGCACCTGAGAAGTTCTCCACCTGCCCACTGCCCGCATAATGAAGAGCAGCTCCTGGCACACAGCTGGGCTTGTAGAAACGGTGCCAGTGCCAGAATCCCAGGAGGGGATTCACCAGTGGCCTGTACTCCCACCTGTGGAGAGAGGGGATACAGAACGAGAGGGCACCATTGAGGCAAGGTGCACAGGTAAGAGATGAGTTTTGGAAAATAGTGTACGAATTTCTACCAGCAAAACCCTCCCTGAAACTCAGCACAATTTAGCCAAAAAGCCAATTAAAACTAGCCCAAAGTGTTCTATACAGACACAGTATTTCCAGTTGGGTAAGTTTACCCCTGAGGACCCATAAGGAAACAAGCAAGGCCATGTTATAACTTTAGTGATAGTAAATGATGCCTGCATTGATATCGCCATAAACTCACTTTATTGAGTGAATGTACGATAACAAATCAAATGAGACCGAACCCCAAATGTGTAACGCTATGAATTTGTGTGCAATATGCAACTCACAGGGAACTTTATAGAGGACATGATGGCTTGGTGGTATTATTGCTGGATTGTTGATCCAGGTAATGCTCTGGGGACCCAGGTTCAATTCCTGCCATGGCAGAAGGTGGTATTTAAATTCAATAAAAATTTGGAATTAAGAGACTAATTTGTTGATTGTTGGAAAATCCCATCCATTTCACTAATGTCACTGCAAGAGGCTAGAGAAGAAATTGCAGGGGCCCTGGCTGATATATTTAGTATTGGATGAGGCCCTGGAACACAAAAGGGTAGCAAAGTGCTATTCAGGAATTATTCAAGAAGGATTGCAAAGAAAAACCTGGGAATTATAGACCAGTAAGCCTAACATCTGTGGTAGGTAAATTACTTGCGAAGATTCTGAGGGATAAGATATACATGCATTTGGAAAGACAGGGTCTGATTAGGAGTAGTCACCACGGCTTCGTGTGTGGGAGATCATGCCTCACAAATTTGTTAGAGTTCTTTGATGAAGTGACCAGGAAGGTTGATGAGGACAGGGCGGCAGATGTAATCTATATGGATTTTGGTAAGGCCTTTGATAAGTTTCCACATGGTAGGCTGCTCTGGAAGGTTCGATCGCATGGAATCCAGGGAGAGTTGGCAAATTAGACACACAATTGGCTTGGTGGTAGGAAACAGAGAGTAATAGTGGAAGGATGCTGTTAGGACGGGAGGCCTGTGGCTAGTGGTGTGTCTCAGGGGTCAGTGCTGGGTCCATTGCTGTTTGTTATCT